AATAAACACAGCAGAACTGAATTTGCATTGTCTCTTGGAGTTCTTTGGGCTAAACTTGACATCAGTCTCCCCAGACTGAACCCTAGCTCCCAAGCCAGCCAGTCACAACACTGTGAATTCCTCAGGGAGGTGCCAGCCTCATCCTCTTGCAATTCCCACGCTCTTGTGGTGAACTAAGAACGCGCTAATCTCCCTGAGCCTGGCCTTCATAATTCCATTCCATCACATGTATTGACTATATAATGTATATAGTCTATGTATACATATATAATGTATATAAATTATGCATCCCACATTGCCTCTTTTGCTTAGTACTGCTATGCCTTTGAATGATTTGTATCTCCTCCTTGATTTAACCTGATGTGGTGGATTGCAGTAGAGAGCAAGGTTCTCAGGAAGGAGGGACACAGTCCAGGAAGGGCAGAGAGACAAGAGACAACACAGTCCAGAGCAGGAGTGTAGAAAGCGAAAGAGGTTCAGGGTAGCCACTCCCTAGAATCTCCCAGGGTATATCCACTAGTTGCAGAAGTACAGATTTAGTCTGGCAAGATCCTGTCTATATGGTGTACTCAATTAAAGAACTGAATTTGGATGAACTGCTTCCCTGTTGTTCTTAGATTGGGCCTGACACGTGATGACTTTTCAGTACTTTCCCCTACCATCACCACAGTACCAACATTTCTTACTTCTAATTCAAACTATTACTGATTCTGTGATTTCTCAAATTGCTTACCCTTTATTATTTCTTTTATGGCTGGCCACCAGACTTACTTTCACATTTCACAGTGTTAAGGGTATTTTGTCAGGAATTTATCTCAGTTAAAGATAAACATGAACAGCCTCCATTCACAAAGAAGAGAAGTTTTCACCAGCAGTGGGATAACCCTACCCCTACTGACTGAAGCCCCTTAATTCAGAGTGACCGGATCAAGCCCAACCCAACCTTTAGAACTAAAGCTCACTTCAGGATGCTGGAACCAGGATTTGAGATAGAGGATTGTGTATCATTTTCCAATGATAATGGAACATTCACTCAACTATTGTACAGATTCTTACACCAACAAAACCAAAAACTAAATGTGCAGTATCTACTGCACTTGATTGTGGCCCCACCCTGAAATATTTATCATTATCATACCCTGTCTTTATATTAGCACACATTACCCTGGAACAAATACATTACAGATGCTTAATTTGAGCATGTGATTAATTCTCTTCCACTGAACTCAATGGGACTTATGTGTCTAGCGGGCTGTTAACAGAAGCCAAATTACAATTAGACCATAATTCTCCAATATTTTGCGAAAGGGGGTCTTGCTTGTGATGTTACAGGGAAGCTTAAACCTAAACTTTATCCAAACATGTTTTGGCTATGTAAAGTTACCACAGGGTTAAACTTGAAAAGTGGCAAATCTTAATAGTGCAACCATAAATCCTAAGAACTAAAATCAACACCAATTAGCCCCTTTTAGCCTTGCGTAACATGGCAACTACACACAACATTCATGTTCAAATTCTTGTTCTCAACATACTTAAAAAAAAAAAAAAAGTTGGCATTTTTTCACTTAGCTTTTCACTTCTTAACACTGAAGTGTCGCATGAAATATTAAACTGGGACCCTCCCTTCCAGATGTATCCACAGGGAGCGGGTGTCAAAAAACTTCAAGGTGGCGACCACAACCACGCACTCAAAGCTTGGAGTCCGTGACTGTGGTCACTATCTCAACTTTTTTGATCCATCATGCAGATCCCCCTGCTACCTTCACAAAAGCAGGTTAAGACTATATTAATCAAATAACGGTTAGCTCTGCATTCGGGAAATTGCATAATACCTATGCTGACTTAGTACAGTTTTCCTGAAAGGGCTTTGCTTCTGTTTTCCAGACTGAAAAAAAAAATTGAGTGAAAGCACAGAAGAAAGAAAAGGTAACCTTTTGCAAAAATGTAGGACACTGCTTAATTAAATCATGAGGAACCAGCAGGGGGATTCTATTTCAAGGATTTAATGCATTTAAAAAATGGGTGATTTTAAAAAAATGTCTAATTTTCTGCATTCAGGATACTCTAGCTAATGCATTGTTCCCTTCCCTAGAACAGCATTTTAATATTCTGAAAGGGAAAAGCACAGAGCAAGGAATCATGGTTAAATTAAAAATAATTATAGGCTCCCTTTCTGTGCAACGCAGCTTTCTGTATTTCCTTTCTACCCACAAGGACTTTTTTTGAAAAGAGTATTGTGCACAGGAAAGTGGTATTTGCAGCTTTGTAAGCCAGGAATGTGATAGATATGGCAGAATATCAAAATAAGTAACAATGCAATCTGGGGCAAATTTTGATGCAAATGCTGAGAAAATATGTAAACTTTCCACTGCTGTTTCAGTAAGTGAGGTCAGTTGACAAGCATTTTGCTTTTCAAACCAATCTCTGTTGCCTTGCTTTGCTCTGCACACAGTTGCGCACGAAATGTTTGCACATAAACACTAAGTCATCTTAAATCTATGCCAAGGTAAACCTTTAATATTGACTGAATTCATCTTCTTGAGCAGATGTTGCTATCTTTGGTGGCATTCAAGCTTTGTAAGACTATTCTACCCTCAATTTCTGTGGGTTTCAGTAATATTAGTATTGAAAATGGCTGTCTACAGGCACATCCTATTGTGGGGACATAGATTGTCACAACATCCCTTTTATATAACAGTTTGTGTGTACACTGTGGTAAAGCACTACAAAAAGTCAAGAGGATTTTCTGCATTAGAAATCTACTTTTACAGTTTTACCCTCCTGCTGAAAACAATGGATATTTTTAAGAAACGGGGAATATTTTAACAAGGTACAGCTGGGCATCTCTTCTAAAATAAGATAAAGCAGTGGAAGTATTTTGAAATAGCAATGCTGTAGTTACAAATGTTTGTTAATTAGACTCTATTTTTCACGTTCGTCTCTGTTACACTTCACATTTAATCTCTGAACCCAAATTTAGCCTTTGTGAACACGTAAGAAAAAGTTTGAGAGAAACAAACTTTTGTCCTGGGAAAATGAAACAAATTCCTTTCACAAAATACTGGCTTGTGATACATATTAACATTAATTAACACACTGATTAATATGTTAATTAATATATTCATTGTAATATATATCAATATTAATGAACATCATTATCTTTATCACATCAAAACCAGAAAACTGCTAATGTCTGCTTTGCATCTCGGAGATTCGCTTTGCATCCTACAGATACAGAAGGTAAATCGCCAGATGGAAGGGGTTCGTGCTGCATTGTAAAAGTACAACACAGGTAACAAAAGGTATGTCTGCCCACACTTAGTACTGAAGCACAAACTGAAATCTTCACTTGTATGTGTTAAAAACCCCATCTGCCTTGGTTGATGAAATACTACCAATTAAAATGTCTTCAACTTGAAGAGAAATCATTGCTACTTGATCTGATTAGGGTTCCTTCTGACACTGTGATGCGTCTTGTTAATTGGAAATGTGCAGCATTTCCCAAGACATATTTCCTCCTCCCATTGCTCACTGCCAATCAAGAAAAACAAAGCTGGACACTTATCAGAATTCTGGAAAATCCTCATTTATTGGCCATGAGGTCTGTGTCAGTTCATGGTGTCCACAGGGGATGAAGGGGGTGTCAAAAAGTCAAGTCAATGGCCGTCACCTCTTCCTTTTTTGTATACATCACATGTGCAGTGCAAAGAAAGGAGAGGGCAGGGATTTGATTATGACCCACAGACACCCCTATGCCAACCATTCCTGCTGGGCTCTTCCCACTAATCAAAGCTAACACAGAGGACAAAAGCTTAGTCTTACGTCTGAACCAGGATTTTGGATCCTTAAACAAACCCAAACTGGAAACAAATTATTGATCTGACTTTCGGTTCTGACTTTTTAGAGAAATGAAAATCAAAAGTCCTGATTCAGACAAACTCTCTGCTTTCTGGTTAGCTTTTAATTGTTTAGGTTCTCCTGCAAGTCAAAGGAGCTTAAGAGCCAGAAAGATCAATAGTGGGGGATATAGTTCAGCGAGGAGTGTCCATGGAAGGTAAGTCCATAACTACACAATTGAGATACCTTGACATTTTTGAATCCCCCTGCTGATGCCCCTGGGTTCAGCAATATCTCAAATCAGAGGTTTCCTGGCTCTGAAACTCATGCTGTGTTTTTAGAAAAGGAATTTCTTTTTCAACCCTGATCAACCAAATTTTCCAGTCCATATTAACAAATGATTTGATGACAACGTTTCTAATAAGGCTAATCAATTTCTGAACTGAAAAAAAATACTTTGCTTAATGCATACATAAAAGACAGGGCTCTGGAATCTTTAGAGACTTTGTTAAAATTGCATAATTAAGTCCTGATATTCACCAAATGTGATGCAGTTTTGGTCAATCAGCCACAACATGGCCACTTTTTGAAGTTCAGACATTCGAGGTAAACCTGCAGTTGCTTTAAGAAAGATAGTAAGCATTGCATATTTTATCAATAGTAAGGAAATGTTCAAATCATTCTCTCTTGGGAACCAGTTCGTAAATCTGCCATGTACTAGCATTTTAGAAATACTCTGAAATTACCTGAAGCCAGAGTATAGGAGTTTTCATGGCTAGATTATAGCAACAATGTCCACCACACAGAGCATGTTTATATAACGTAATGATATCAGAAAAAGTCCTTAACCCAAAGCAGTAATAAATTATACCTTATTAAAACAGATATAAAAGTTGTTCAAGTGTATGAAGTGTCATGCAACAGAGAGGCAGTTTGGGCCAAGATGCCAGGCGTTTCCGTTCATGGCATTCGGCACAACTCCAGCATTATTTTCGCCCAACGAAAGGGAAAAAGAGAAAGTGGTAGTTGAGGTATCAACGTCACCGAAATGCCCAGATGGAATCAAGTCTACGAGACACTTATGCTGGAGGCTCTAGGTAAGGTTAGGCCTCAGGGATATGTCAAACATAACGATCTCATTTCATAAGCAATTTGCAGTTGCATTGAAAGGACCTGGATAGGTACAGAAAGAAACTGTGTTGATTACCATCTTCCCAACGATGCATAAGCTACCCAGGAAACATTTTTACTGTAATGTAGACACTTTTAACTACTTCTCACAATATATTTCACAGCCTGTTTAGACACACAAAACCTTTTGGGCTCCCACATCCGGCTCTTTCGTCAAACAATGCCCTGATCAGAGCAACCCTCTTCTCACATCCTGGTGCTTACTCGCCCGTGGAGTAACCCGCGTGCTTCTACAGCTTTGCATAAGTAGTGTTTCCTCAGCGGAACATCTGGGACAGCTACAGTTCAGGTAACGGTGCACTCCGGCCAAATTCTTTAATTCCCTGAAGAATTCGCTTCATATGACCCACTTTCGTTATCCCCAAGTCCTACGAGACAAAGAAGATAGAAAGTCCACTTGCAGGAAATCAAAACAGCAAAATATCTTTTAACTTTTTGCAATAAAGCTAGTTTAGATAGCCCACATTACAAGTCTGTTAAAGCAACTGCTGAAACCATGTCTCTTCTTGTCATTATAATATGGTACTTTCTTTCTTGCAATTAAAATATATCACTGATGCCTATGGATGACCTATGGACATAGCCCTAATAGATTTAAAGGAAACTCTTGACTTGCAAAATTTTTCTAAGAATATTCTATAAACTCAACTGCTTAGGACTTTTCAACTGCAGGTGCCCCAAGTTTGATTTTGTTTTTCCTGACTACGGGACAATTCCACTTCAGAGAACAACATCTCCGGTGTGTTTGCACAGATAGTCAATGATAAATCTGACACCTTTGCTTTGTTCCTTAATAGCCAAGCAGGAAAGTGACTACATGGATAGGCAACACAAACATTTCAGATTATCAGTCACACAGCAACATCCACAAAGGGAGTTCAAAAAGTCAAGATGGCAGTCACAGCAGCCCAAGCAAGGCACTGTCCATTTTGGGTGTGCCTCAACATCACATACATGCCATGATGACATCTTGAATTTTTTGACACATTCCCACCCGCTCACCCACCATGGACACTGCTGCGCTCACATTACATTAATCTATGCAGAAATCAGAACAAAGCGATTACAGTAAAATGTTATTTTTTAACAAAGGGAAATGCAGTCTTCTAGATTAAAAGCAGGATAGAAAGTGTCCCTTGGACATATCTACGACCAGCTGGAGAAAGTATGCTATACAAAAGTAGTATACTCTTCGCCATATTCCACCACTAAATGCAAATAGGGTTCTTTTTATGCTTAAATGTTTATTTTTATTTATTTATTTACAGGACTTATCTGGCCGCCTAGCTCATACAATGACTGTAGGCAACTCACAACAATCCATAAAACATAGTTAAAAACAAAAGTACCCCTCCCCCCAGGCGCAAGATCAAACACCCTCCCAGCTCAACCCCCACCCTAACCCAAAGTCTGGGGAAGAGCCAGGCCTTCATGGCTCTCTGGAAGGCTAAAAGGGTAGGGATCCCTCGGATCTCAGGTGGGAGGCTGATCCAAAGGTCTGGGGTGGCCACCCAGAAGGCACGACTCTGAGGTCCCATCAGATTTAAGGGAGAGGTCCTGGAGCGCACCCATCCTATCTAGCCG